ACTTAGATTCTTCATTTTTGCCATGATCAAGGTTAACATAAAATGAAACTCAAATCCATCACCCTTCCTGGGCACTGAAGTGTGATCGTGACTATGGCATAAAATGCTTCGCCTCAAGCACTTTTAAAATCACTTTAAAAAGCGGCAAACATTCTTGTTTGATCATAAGTTACTCATTCTCGTCCGAGCTGCTACGAAGAATTCGAGAGGCTTGCAGAATCTTGTGACAAGGCGTGTAAAGTAAGTTGCTTTCTTCATTCCATGCGGCTGTTCTTCCACAATTTTTCTTAGCTTTTTCTTACTCGTAAGGAATGGATATCCAGGGCTGAACTCTTAATTACAAAGGCATAGAGAGCTACTTTAATAGAACATTTCCTTAACTAAAACCATCCTTCCTAATAGTATGAGCTGTTGTTGAAATTAACTCGGCCCGCTTATCAAGACACGCCTTATTTACACAAGAGTATCTTACTTTTATTACTTGAAATTTTTTTCAAAGCCGTTCATGAAATTTCTGACTTTTTTGCAAGATCAATTGACTGCCCTGTTCTTCACAATATTTGTTAGTTCGGTGTCACTTTTTCTTCCCCGTCAATCTCTTGGAGTAGTTTAAGAAAAGAAAAGTACTGACAGTCTTCGGACATAGGGACGGAGAAAGCAAGAGGCATTGACGAATGTTACCTGTCCGCCCCTGTGCGCTCTTACGAAAAACGCACTAAGGAATTGGCCTTTCAATTTTGAGGATGACAAGCCTCGTCGAAAGTGCTGAATAACGTCTGCGCATGTCATAATCTCACTTCTGTAACCATAACAACAGATGTGGCGGCAATTTTGAAAATTTAAAATTTTGATGCCCTCTTTCCTCTTATAAAACGACTTGTTGGCAAACTAAAGCTGACTACCCTCCTTAAGGAACGCCCACCACTCATTGATTTTTCACGTTTTCCCTTTGTTTTTGTCAATTCAATACAGCGAAAGCAAGATAAACATGAAAATATCCACAGTTTTGGTGCTTTGTATCGTGGCAATATGTGTCATGGACTTCTCAGTGACAGGTAAAAGAATTTTTCAACTCTTAAACTCGCAGAAGAAGGTGACTTGTAACTTCTCTTTGCAACATTTATATATTTTCCAGCAAGAAGATAATGAAAATAGACAGACTAACCAGGTATAGGATGTTACTTTGCTATTTAGGAGAGTAGAAAGGAAATATGTAATGGAGAGAAGAGTTATGAGGCAAAAGTCGGGAGAACAAGGACGGATAACCTGTTTTCGATCGGAAATCTAGTGTTTTTTTAAAAAAATAGTCAGCAAATTTATCCGCGAATCTGAGCTGATTGAACTCTCTACTACTTGTTTTCGGCTGGCAGAATTGAGGTTGAGCGAAGACAATTCTGCAGACTCGCAAGATTGAAAGGTTGCATCTCACGTTAATATCATTTTGGAACTTTAAAGTGTGTATTAATTTTTTTTAAGTATTTCAATCTATAGGTGTGCTAAGGATGAGACAAGTCTAAATGAGATGAAGAAAAAAAATAGGCAAAAATATATAAACAATGAAT